CTCTCTCTCTCTCTCACACACACACACACACACACACACGGATGCTCTCTCTCTCTCTCTCTCTCTCTCTCTCTCTCTCTCTCTCTCTCTCTCTCTCTCGCTCGCTCGCTCGCTCGCTCGCTCGCTCTCTTTTTTGTTTTTTCCCCTTGGTTTCTTTTCTTGTCTTTTTTTTTCTTTTTTTTTTTTAAACAAGGATTGTATTACCAATTCATTGAAGAGAGGCTGGGGACCTCACAATTCAACCCGGAGTTATCCCGGCAGCATCAGCCGGTTTAGCTTATGACGCTCACAAACATGTCTCAAAAATAAAGGCTTTACCTTGGCAACACCACAACACAACAACCCTACTCCCTAATCATACTACTTATTCAGACCTAAGCTAAACTAGATAGTACCAATCTGCCCTACTGCCGTCTGTTACCTTCACCCAGAGTCCCCAGCACTCCTTTTCTCCTACCTACAACCCCTTCCACCTATTCCCCTACTCTTCTATCCACTCCCCCACCATGTCCTCACACAGGGCACTGTCCTGTTACTGTTACAGACGATGCCCCCCGAGTCTATCTCGACTCAGCTTCTATTCTTTCTCCTCCCTACTCTATCAATGATATCATCAGACATTAGTCATTGATAGTTTCGGTCCTCCTGCGGACCTATATCAGGACCGAGGAGCCAGGTCCGACCCTTCCCACCCCAAGACCGCCACTTCCCGTTGAATTTCCTCCTTCCCCTTCTTTCTGGTTCTTCTGCGACCCCTGTCTGCTGTTACTGCGGGATCCTTCTGCCTCCCCCTTGAGTGCACAGCCATGGTGACAATGCCAGCTTACCTTCCAATGTCACCGCCGCCAGTTGGTTTGATCTGGCCCACGTAAAGAGAAACCATCTCCTCCCGTTTGGCAACCGACCCTTGTCTGCCCGTCTTACCCAATCCGCCACCACCATTGTCCTGATCAGGGTTTTAATTTTGCCGTGAATAGCTACGTCTGAGGACCATTCCTCCCGAAACAAAATACTGTTCCGGTCTTCCCATATGACCCAGGTGATGGCTGACCTGATCGCCTGTGCCATATATCCCCACCCTCTATGTCTGAAAAAGAGCGGAGGAAGCTGACCCCCCACCACCCACTTCTCGTCCCAGACCAGCGCAGATCCTAATCGTTGCCAATGGTCTGCCAACCACCTCCAAATTCTTTCGGATGTTGGGCAGTCCCAAATCAGGTGGTAGGTAGTCTCTTCTTGCGTGTTACCACACTGCCGGCACTGGCGATCAACATCCATGCCTTTATCTGCCAACCACTTGGCTGATGGGATAGCAGAATGCGACAGCAACCACATCAAACCGGCGAGTTTGAGGCTGGGGAGATGCGGGAGGGAGGCCCAGATCGACTTCAACTCTGGGATCGACGGGTTCGACTGCATGTTAAAGGTTCTGGCCAGCCTTTCGCAGATCTGCTCCATATTTACGTCCGGTGGCTTCTGCACTTGCCTTCCCAACTTCATGTCGTAGTTAGCTAACGTCTTTCTGTCATGTCCTATTCCGTTCCATGAGTAGGCAACTGGGTCCCATCGTAACTCTTGAATGGCCGCACCGTTCTGAATTAGAAGGTACTCCCCTCCTCGTCTTTGGCTTGGTATCAAGCAGACCCGCACCGGCATGAGGTGTTGGTCTGTGTTGATGATATCCTCTCTGATCCTCCGCATTTTGGAACCACTATTGCTTTCACTTACCAGGCCCCATCTCGTAACACTCCACACGTCATCTTCCAGCTTCTCTTCCAGCCTAAGTACCTGGATGTTGTTCTCTTGCTGTTGTTCTTCCTTGTACCAGCCGCCCACTGTCCTGGGGTTGGATTTTGCTAATTCCTCCTTCCATTCCGCTGGGATGGCTTCTATTAGTTCCCTTAGCCTGAACCCCACTTCTCGAAGTCTTCCCAGAACTTCTCGAAGTTCCACTTCTGTCTTCCATCTCTTCCTCCCTTCATCCCATAGATCTTTTACCCTCAAAACCCCCTTCTCTATCCATTTCCTTCCAAATGTACCCGCTCCCGTGACTTCGAAGCTGCTGCCATTCTGGTCTATGATGTATGAGTTCTCGAACAGCTGCGGCATTAAAATTTCCTCTTTTAGTATTGGTCTTGTAGGTAGCTGGGGTCTCAATCTGGTCCAGGCTGCGCACCAGGCTGCTCCCAGGGCCGATCTTGGCCTGCGTTTAAGAAAAGCAGTCATCTGCAAGGTTTCTTTTCTTGTCTCTCTCTTCTCCTGCCTTGTTCATAAAAGTCTCCAATCTTAGAGCAGACTCACACTAGCTTCTACCCCCAAATACAACGAACGGTCATCATAGCTGTATCTAGACTGAAAGATGTGTCACTTACAGCTATAATGACCGTACGTTGTATTCAGGGCAAAGGTAGGACTTTTTTACCTATTTTTGGATGGAATTGTGGCCAGATACATCCAGGGATGGCCGTGAATGCGGTCAGATACATTTGAGATACTGCTAGTGTGAGCACGCCCGCCCTTAGACCCGCCGCGCGGGTTTTCCGAGTTCTGAGATTTGCGTGGGCGTATGGCCTTTGAAGCGGTAGGGCCTCGCTGCACTACTCTTGAAATGCACAAAAGACAAAAATCATGTCCCTGTATCTTTCCATGTTCTAGCAGAAGATTCACTCTCGTTTTGCACATTTTGAGAGTAGCGCAGCCAGGCCTGTAGTTCGAACTTCAGAATCTCAGATTTGTTTGCTTTTCAATTTTAATCCCAAAAAAACACCAAATTTATAACTGAAAAGAAAAACAATAGAAGCAGAAAATTCAAAATAGGGGGCTGAGGTCCCCGGCCTCCATCTATCATTTTGGAATATAACTTGACCTTTTTCGAAAAAAAAAAAAAAAAAAAAAAAAGGTAGGGAAAAAAAGGAGAACCCAATGGCCTAGCTCAGTTTTTGGTACATCTATGGGACTGGATGCACTGCTCTCCAAATGCACACAAGACAAAAAAGATAGCAATATATCTTTCCATGTTCTAGGCGAAGATTCAGTCTCATTTTGCACATTTGGAGAGTAGTGCAGCAACGCCCTATGAATAGTTGAAAATTCGCTGTCCTTTCTGTTTGTTACATGTGGCCCCCCGAGGTGAGGGCAGGGCAGGTGTTTTTTTTTTGTTTTTTTTTAAAGAAAAACGCCCCTACCAGTGTTAGTGGTGTAACTCGTAGGAAGAGAGTTTTTTTTAATCGGAAAAAGGAATGCTGAAACTATTCTTCAATGGCAAAAGCAGGTCACGCAGCGCTGTCCCACGTTTAAAAAGTGGTGTAACTCGTAGGAAGAGAGTACAAACATGCACACACTTGGAAAGGACACGTCGAAGTTCCACTTATCCCGGAATTCTCAACCGCTGAGCCCAATTCCCAGTGCGCTCGCTAAGGCGCACGCAAATTCCCATGTGTTTCCCGACCATGCAAAAAGAAAAACAGAACTCAGTAGTCGAAAAAGCTCTTCAAAAAGGAAAATGCGGCACCCGAAAGCGAGAAATCAAAACGGGGCTTTCCTGGGGTTGGTATGATACAAGCAAAAGAAAGGGTACGAAAGATAGCACGGGGTCGGGGAGTGGTTCGTCACAGGTGTGCCGAGGCCCAATTGCACAACAAGAAGTAAAATACTCAAAATCTTCTATCCAGTGGGCCTAAGGCCGACCCCACGCTCCTTTGGGGTTGGCCACACCCCCAACCCATTGAAAAGATTCTGGCGGGAAACTTTCTTTGCACGGGCAAGGGAGAGGAGAAGGGAAACGAAGATCTCCTTACTTTTTCGGGTAATACAAGTAAAATACTGACCGTGATCCCACGAGTATTGCATGGCAGGATATGGGTCACTCAACTGCCCCACAAACYCGGTTCTATCCTATCCCGTTGCTAGGGGGACCTCGCCCCTGAAGGATGTGGATAGAGCGGCATGCACTTTTGGGCCGAAATCTTTGGGTTGCATCCCTGTCAGGCTGGTGTACAATTTTTATTTATTTATTTATTTTATTTTATTTTTCTGTTGTACAAATTGGCAATCAGGACCTTGCATTTGGGCAATCTGGCCTTGGAAAAGTTAGCGAGTAGCTGGAGGGTACCCAGCAGGGGTATATTGCAATGAACGGGGGTCCAACTGACGCCAGGGGTGTTTCTCAAAATATGTTTTGTGTCAGAGGGGCATCTCCGTCTTTTCACATGCATTAGGGGCATTTTGGCATCAATCTGAGCTTATAGGGGTATTTTGCAAATTATCCCTTCGGAAAATTAGTACAAAAAGGCCCTTAGGGCTGCTTACCCCTCTCTGAGTGCCCGTTTCTGATCGTCTTTTTTTCTGATACAGCCTATCAAACTTGGGGCCCGGAAATGTCAAAATGGTCTTTCAAAGGTTACCCGTCCTAACTTGGGGGGCATATCCTAT